CCTCCCTGTCTCCCCCTTCCCATGATCTGAGGTCTGGGCATGTCCCTGCAGGTGTTTCCCCTGGTAGCATGCCCAAAGCCCGGGTGTGAGTTTGGGGGTGGGAAATGCCTGGTCTACAGAAGGAGGCCTGTTTTTACACGTTGGGGTTGGAAGCAGGGTGGAGAGACGATGATAAGGAAAGCCAGAATATGACTTGTGTGGGAGTGTGTGTATCTGAACGATAGGTGGAAAAGAGGTGATAGTATTTAAATAGGGGAGGAAGAAGAGCTGTAGAGAAGCAGGACCCTTGAGGGACGGTTTTGGGTACATTGGGACAATGGGTGGTGATTGTAAAGGTCAAGGTGAAGGGGAAGAGGTTGTACTTAGAAGCTTGCAGGACAGGGAAGCAGCCTAATTTTGTGGTCGCGAGGTAGCGAGAATACATTGAAAGGGCAGAATAGGAAGCTCGGAAAGTTATCTTTCCCTTTTTGCTCTTTCCCACCTCTTCCGTCCTTCTCCAATCCATTTTATATCTTTCCCTTTTGCCTTCTCTTCCTTCTCTTTATGATTTTATCTTCTTTAAAAAAAATTATCTTCTGTTTTCCTTAGTTGATCTTCCCTTTCCTGCTTTGGCTTTCTTTCCTCTTTCTCTTGTTCCACCTTCTTAAATTATTTTCCTTATTTCAGGCTGCTTTGAGCACGAAGGGGTTAACAAGGAGCTAGGCCTACCAAGTTCCCTGGCCCTCTGGGGTTTCCAGCCCCATCTGGCAGGGGCTGACCTTGGCCTTGTCCAATCAGAAGGGGTGGGGGGTGTGGTCCCCCCTTGCCTTAGCACAGGGTTTCGCACAGGGTTTCCGGAGCACACAGGCGAGGGGTGGAGCCCGCTGCACCCCCACCCCCCTTCTCCCTGAGGTTGGGAACAATGCACCAATGAGCCTGGGCCTGTGGCTCTCCTGCCCCCTCCCACTTTGGGTGGCACTCAGCCAAGTTAACCCTTCTCACCAGGGTTTCAGGGCAAGTCGCAGCTCCTGGGAAGGAAGGTGTTGGCACTGGCTTGGGAAATACTGTCCTCGGAAACCCCACAAACTTAGTAGTCAAGTGGACAGCGAAGGATTGTTATGGTTGCCTGATGTTTAAGAGCAAAGAGTCTCCTGAACTCTGAAAAGAAAAATTAGTAAACACAACCTTATGTGACAGTTGTTCACCATATTGGGTTTCTGAACCTCAGGCTGGTTTCGCAGGAGAGACAAGTGTGATGTTCCTGCTGGGCCTAGTGTGGGCAGATTTGTGCTTTATGAGTGGCATCTGAGCATTGGTACCTGGGTTTGGGATGGGTTTCTGTGGCATTCTTTGTACTCTCAGCAGCTTTTCCCAAGGCACTGGTGATGGGGAGCTGGGAGGACTGGAACAGCGGAGAGGGCTAGGAGGAGAGGGCTCAGTGGGAAAGCTGGTGGCTGTAGGTATAAACGGCAGATGCCTGGGGAATGTGAAAAAAAAACCAGCTGGGATAGGAAGTGTTTTCCCCGGGTCAAAGTTTCCAAGGTGGCTTCTTGCTGAATTAGTTTCTGACTTGACTTCTTCCTCCTTAATCTCCCAGGGGAGTTTGAGGAGGAATCAAAGCAGCCAGGGGTGTCAGAGCAGCAGCGACATCAACTGAAGCACCGGGAGCTTTTTCTTTCTCGGCAATTTGAATCGTTACCAGCCACCCACATAAGGTATAGGACAATCGGGGCCACTGGCTGGTGTGCACTTCTTTAGAAGATGGAGAGGAGGGGCGTGGTGGCATAATGGAAGTGCTGTGGAGAAGGAATGAGGAGCTTACCTAGGGTTTTCGGACCTCTCTCCTGTAGGGGGAAATGCAGCGTGACCCTCTTGAATGAGACCGACATCTTGAGCCAATACTTGGAAAAGGAGGTGAGAAAGAGGTGTGGGGGGGAAAGAAGGGGGGGAGTGGGTGTGCCCAGAAGGCCAGAGGAGAGTAGGACTGGAATGAGGTTCAGGTCCACAGACCGCCTGTCATGGGAACGCTGGATGTTCCCCACCGCCCGCTTACCTTTTTTTCCTGGCTCCAGGACTGCTTTTTTTACTCACTGGTGTTCGACCCCGTGCAGAAGACGCTTTTAGCCGATCAGGGGGAGATCCGAGTTGGTTGCAAATACCAAGCTGAGATCCCAGATCGTCTGGCAGAGGGTAAGCAACAGGACGGAGCGTGCGGCCCCTGAGTCATGTAACGTCGTAGTCGCTGTGAATGGCGTGCTGCGGAGTCATAGGCTCCACGGCCTTCACGGCTCTGTGCCATTGCCCTGACAAGCTGGGACCTTGGGAACCTGCAAGGGGCCAATGGGCACAGTCGGGAAGAAAAGTCCGAGAGTTGAGGTGGCTGATAGAATCCACGCCAGAGGCACGGGGGGAGCGAGGTGCTGTTGTGTCAAGGCACCTATTGTTCTCCTTTCCCTCTCCCTGATGTTGCCATTGCCCTGTTCCCCAGGAGAATCTGATAATCGGAACCAACAGAAGATGGAGATGAAGGTCTGGGACCCGGACAATCCTCTCACAGACCGGCAGATTGATCAGTTTCTCGTGGTGGCCCGGTGAGGGGTGGGTGGACGGGCAAGACGGGCTGGGGGCGGTGTGGACACTCTGCATCGAATTCTCAGAGCTGGACTAGACTGGTTGTTTTGGCCTGCGTGGTTTTCCTTATCTGGCTTAGTTCCTCAGCTCACTCATGCTTTCTTGTCTCTCTCTTGACTTCTTAATATCTCCCGTAGGGCCGTGGGGACCTTCGCAAGAGCCCTAGATTGCAGCAGCTCCATTCGGCAGCCGAGCCTGCACATGAGTGCAGCTGCTGCCTCTCGAGATATCACGCTGGTGAGCAGAGGTTGCTGGGAAGTCGGGCAGGCTGGGCTCTGTGGGGACCTGCAGAGCCTGGGGACAGAGGAAGGGTCTCTGAGAAGCCCGGTGTGGAGGGTCTCAGGGCATCCGCATTGTTTCCCACCTTCCCGGTAGTTTCATGCCATGGATACGTTGCAGAGGAACGGCTACGACTTGGCTAAGGCCATGTCGACCCTGGTGCCCCAGGGAGGCCCAGTGCTGTGTCGGGACGAGATGGAGGAGTGGTCGGCCTCGGAGGCCATGCTGTTTGAGGAGGCCCTGGAGAAGTACGGCAAGGATTTCAATGATATTCGCCAGGATTTTGTAAGTGGACAGGGCTGGGAGGAGAGGTGGAAGAGACGGCAGGTGAGGGAACGGGGACCCGGAGCCAGATGCCAGCTCAGCTTCCTTCCCTCTGCCTCCTTAGCTGCCTTGGAAGTCACTCGCCAGCATAGTCCAGTTTTATTACATGTGGAAAACCACAGACCGCTATATTCAGCAGGTATGGGCTGGGCTGGGAAGGCTGGACCAGGGGCCTCCTGCTCACCCCTGCTTTTGAAGTTGATGACATCGTCCTGTGGAGGTGCTCTGATCCTTCTCTTTCTTCCTTTTTTCCCCTTCTTGCAGAAAAGATTGAAAGCTGCTGAAGCAGACAGCAAACTGAAACAAGTCTATATCCCCACCTAGTAAGTGTGGTAGGTGGGGGAGGCTGGCATGTTTTCTTTTTCTCCCTCCC